TGATTTTCATAACTTTAAATGAAATGAAGACATTGAAATAGTTAGATTTTCCATACTGTGGTTCTGTCATTAATCAGAATGGAGACCGCAGTCAAGAAATCAAAAGACTAGGACTTGGAAAAGCAGGTATGAAGGAACTGGACAAGGTCCTGAAGTGTATAGCTATATTATGGAATACTAAAGTCAGGTTGGTCCATGCCATCGTATTTCCCATTTCTGTGTATGGTTGTGAAAGCTAAATGGTGAAGCAAGTGGATAGGAAGAAAATCAACTCATTTGAGATGTGGTGCTGGAGAAGAGTTGTATGGATACCATGGGTGGCTAAAAAGAGAAATCAATGGGTCCTACAGCATATGAAGCCTTGTCTCTCCCTAGAAGCCAAGTTGACTAAACCGAGGCTGTTGTACTTTGGCCATATCTTGAGGAGACATGATTTGTTAGAAAAGACAAAAATGCTTGAAAAGAAGAAGAATGCATTCCAGATGGATCTACTCCATCAAGGATGCCATGGCCCTGGATTTGTAAACCGTGAGCAAGGCTGTTGCTAACAGGGAGACTGGGAGGTCTCTCAAGTCACTCACAAAGTTGTCAAAGTTGACAACAAATGAAAAGGAGGAGGTAGGAGAGACAAAGTGGATGGAGAAGGAGAGGAGGAGGAAGGAGGAAGGAAAAGGAGGAAGAAGAAGAGCAGGGAGGAGGGAGGGAGAAGGAGAATTGTTTTGCTAATACACTGGGAAAGGAATAACGTGAACCTACTTGTTGTCCACCTGAATGCACCCACCCATGTTCTGCCATCATCCCTTCCAAGAAAAGGAAAGAAAACAGCTCAAATTTTACACTATACCGATGCAGAAGTGTCTTGGGCATTGCTTCTCATGTTCCCTTCCCTGTGATTATTTCCACCGGTGTTCCCTTGAGGGAAGTGTCAAGCTTCCAGAGTGTGTTGTTCTGCAAATATGAGCCTGTGTGTTTGTAAAAAAAACAAAACCACCTTCTGCCTCGATAAAACCATGGGCCTCCCTTTTCTTGTGCAGCAGTGCTAGGATGCAAATTAAAAGGAAGAAAGCTTGACCTGGCAATTATTCCTCTGTGCCTCCCCAGCTAGGCTTAAAGATGCATGCAGAGAGAGCCAGCGTGGTGTGGTTGTTTTTTCTGTTTGTGCTCATTGCCATCTTCTAGATGGAGTAGCAAATGGTCCTGGAGGAAATGACACACCATACTTTCCAGGTGTCTGATGAGAATCAATGAAGCTGACTTGCAGCGTGGATTAAATTTATTGCAATTCTTTCACAACCAGCTCCCTGGCAGGTGAGTGATGAGTGAAGCTGGGTCTTAAATCTTTGGGCCTGTTAGCTTTTTATTGGGGAGGGGGAACACTTGTTAGTTTCCCCTCTCTTCTTTCTTGCTTGACTAACCAGAGGATTATTCTTCCCAAAGTACTTTCAGTCACACCAGCCATTGTTGTCTCCCTTTCCTTCAGCCAAGTCTTCTTGCTGAAGTCCCTGTTGATCCAGGGTAACACATATGTATGTATGTATTGAAAGCCTTTATACCCCACCTTTTAGTGGGAGGAAATGTTCTCAGTGCAACTTGCCTAAAAAAGTAGTATGACAATCCTTGCCTTCAGGCAAACATGGCACTCAAGGAGTAAGTGAAGAGGAGGAAAGCTCCTTCCCATCATCATGAAAAATATCATGGCATCCCTGCTTTTGGGTCGACATGATACTCAAGGAATAAGTGAGGAAGAGGGAGGAGGAAAGACTCCTTTCCCTCAATATGGTACCAGTTGGTTTCAAAGGCACTGTGCAGGAAGGAAAGTGGGCATAGGTCTAACCATAGGCTTTAGAGACTGAGATCCTCTTGGTGCTTTATGCCAACTTAATGGTCTGCTTAAAAATGGGTAACACCAACAATAAAATATTGCAGCAACTATAGAACCATAGCACTGATCTTCCACGCAAGCAAAATCATGCTTAAAATTCTGCAACATAGACGCCAACCATACATGGAGAGAGAAATCCCAGAAGTCCAAGCAGGGTTCAGGAAAGAAAGAGGCACAAGGGGCCACATTGCAAACATACAATGGCTAATGACCTCTATTATTAAGGAGGTCCCCATGGGGATTAATTTATTAAGGGCTTGCAGGAATGAAGCAGAGCAGGGGAGGACAGGGGGTCTTCTTGGAGAGGTCTCATCCATTGGGTCGCCATGAGTTGAGATCAACTCGAGGGCAGTTAACAGCAACAGAAAATACTCCAAACTGCATTATTTCTACAGTGTAGATGCACCCAATGAGAGCCACCAACCTCCATTGCTCAAAAGAAACAGTTGACTGCAGCACCCAGCAGCCTTCATGGTCTCAGGAGAGTCCAGGATTTGGTTAGGCAACATTTTCTTTTTCTTTTCACACCCAATTTCCACCTAATTTCTCCAAGGAATGTCCAAGTTTCCTCCATCCTTAAATGACAAAGCAAAAGCCTCCCATCTCTCCCCAGCTGTTTCTTCTCCATCACGCGTCTTAACCTGGAGCAATATTTGTTCAAGATGAAAGTGATTAACCAGCTCTTTCCAAACTGGAGAGGAGATAAATAGGTGGGAAAAGAAGGTCTCCAGGTTTCTTTATTGTGTAGCTTAGAAGACTGTTTACTTTTCTCTCCAGTCACTTGTGGGGGGGGGGGTGTCCCCCCAAAAGATGGGCCACTACTTTCCACTGGAGAATACAAAGCAGAAAGAATGTGCCTTGTTCTATGGGATTCCAAAGTGATGTATATGTTTACTTTGTGCTTATTTACTAAGGTTGTAAACCAAAAGGGAGGAGAGATGCTGGAAGGATGGAGGGATCCATCCCCAGAGCCTCTGACCTCCTCACAGCCCAGCCAGGCTATTGCCTTCAGGACAGAAGATATTGGCCAAGCTGATGTACAGTCCTGTTTCCCAGTTTGTGAAGCTTTTGTTTTTCAAGTTCAAAAAGCCCTTCCCATTGAAAAAGGAATTTGAATGGGCTCCGAAGCATATCTAAGGGTTAAACCAGGTTATACAGTTGGCCTTCCGTATCCACGGAGTCTTTGTCCATAGATTCAACCATCCACAGCTTGAAAATATTCAAATAAAATATAAATTCCAAAAAGCAAAGATTGATTTTGCCATTTTACTATGCCATTGTATTTAATGGGATTTGAGCATCCACAGATTTTGGTATCCACAATGGTTCCTGGAACCAAATCCCAGCAGATATCAAGTGCCCACGTCTTGTGCAGAGGTGCACCCCCTAGTGGTGAAAGACATCTGTTTGTCATAACACATAACTTTTCTCATGGATGTATCTTGCCTTTAACAGGTTTTGCCTTGTGAGTCACTGGAAGATAAATACAAGCTTCCTTTGCAAGCATGGTTAATACTGCAGAACATATCTCCTATTGCAGGAGGTGAAATGGGTTTAACATAGAGAATATGCATTCCCTTAATGTCTACTATAAGTCCTAAATTTCCCTCAATGCTGGGACTGTGAGGTGGGGGATTCAGAGAGCCTTAAATCCAGTAGTTCTCGAATTTCTTTTTTTCTGCTAACCAACAAACATTGCAGAATACTTTTTCTCCCCTCTTTTCTAAGGCTGAATTTCCAATCCTAGCAAGAATGTCTGGCTGGGAGCAAACAGGAGCATCAGTCTAACTTGGGACTTTATCAAATGTATTTGAAAGCCAGTCCTGGTCCCCAGAATTGCAGCCTAACCCAGTTTAATCAAATGTTATTTTCTTCTTAATGATTTCAGTTAATTTTGCATCTTTTCAGTGCCTCTCTGCCTCGCAAAGGCATCTCTTTTTCTTGTTGTTTCCATGGCAATCTTTACTGAAAAGAATACATATAACTGATGCTCCTTTTGAACTTGTTGATCTATTATTATTTATTAAAAGTTTTTGTTTATCGCCACTTAGTTTGCCAGCTTGCTCTCAAGCTCAGCTAGGGGCAATGAAAAACAAAGAACAGCTTTCTTTTAAAAATACAACAAATAAAAACAGAGACATCACTGGTTTTAAGGACCAAAAGCCATATAAAACAATGAGCCAGCATGGCATCTGAATAACTCACCTCCAGCAGCACATTTCACATGAGTTGATCCTCTTCTTGTCAGAGTTCATTCCTGTCCATCTTTCATAACCATAAATAGAAATTAGAAATAAAGGGTTGCCATATTCCAGTCCCTCATATCCAGGCACCTAATTTGCATATGATGCAAATTATTGTAATTATGCATGTTATCAATCTGCATTCTCAGCACAATCATCATTGCACTATTTCTCCCATTATGTTATGATGGAGAAATCCAGGCTTGAATGGGACATTTATCGGTCCCTTCAATCCAGGATTTTCCAGGTTTTCCGGAACAAATGGCAACTCTATGGAAATACCATGATCTGGATTATTCTTATTTTTGGTATTTGATGATACATCTTTCCATTTGAGGATCTTCATAGCTACCCTTCCAAGTCTTAGCGCATGTTTGTTGTTATTGTGTGCCTTCAAGTCATTTCCGACTTATGGCGACTCTAAGGGAAACCTATCGTGGGGTATTCTTGGCAAGTTTCTTCGGGGGGGGGGGGTATTTCCATCTTCTGAGGCTGAGAACATGTGACTTGCCCAAGGTCTCCTGGCAGATTTACATGGTTGAGCCAGGATTCGAACCCGGGTCTCCAGAGTCACAGTCCAATGCTCAAACCACTATGCCCCTTGTTTTGTCTCTGTGCAAGACCTCAAGGTAACTGAATATTTCCTTTCGCAGTCACTAATCAAAATGGAGACTGTAGTCAAGAAATAATTGGAAGAAGTCCAAGGGAGAAATTGGCCAGAATATTCTGGGCTAGACGCATCTTGTTTTTCATCTGCAAAGGAAAACGTTTCAACTACGTCTGTGTAACTGAGCTGGCTGAAAATGCTGAAATATATGAGCGGGGAGCATGGAGGGAGAAAAATAGGAGGAAAAAGAAAGACACATTTCTACTCAGCAGCTTCAAGACTTCTGCCTTGAGGATATCAGAACAATAAATGAAGATACCTGGAATATTTGGAATTGCAATCCAAGCCGTAGGATCCCAGGCACCTGAAATGCTGGTTTGGGAAACTTTGAAATAGAAACCTCGAATAAGTAGGTTTCAGTCGTTTGGATGGCCCTATTTGGAAGCTAAAGGACAGATTTGCTCTTTTATCTGGTTCAGCTGCCCCGACAGTCTTAAAGTGACTTTTCTCTGAGCTCTTGAGCAAAATTTATGGGGGTTTATCTTACCGAGAAGCTCTCCTGAGGAGCTTATGTCCCTTCAACCTGCTTTGCCAGTTCCAAAGTTCAGTTTCCTGGCTTGCTTTCCTCCTCCGGCGAAAAAACTG